AAAGCACGCACAACCCACAATTCCTCTATTCGCTCCGACGAAGGGCTAACGCTCGAAACGTCAGCTTTTGTAATCGTTACAGTGGCCAACTTACCATTTCAACTTTGTTGACTGTCGGAAAGTTGATAAAAGGGAATGGACGGGAACTTCGCGGTGAAATGCAACCGCAGGCGTCAAATTTAATACACACGGCTCGGCGTTCTTACCTAAAGATAAAAGCCGCGTTCGCTCAGTAAGAATAAGTTACGCCTACAAAAACTGTTGAACCGCATATTGAAAGAAATATCAAATAAACAAATAAATTAAACTTACATGATGTTTAGCTTCACGGACTGTCTACTGTTTTGAAGTGAGTTGGTGTTTTGCTCGCAATTAAGTTCATCCAAAGTTTATTGTGTTCTGACAAAATCAATTATCCAGTTAAAAAACTTGAGTACATCAGTATTCCGTCTAACTGCCTACTGCACAATGATGTAAAATGGTTTTCTGTAATGATTGATTCGGATTAAATCAACTGTTACATTGCCGATATCGCAGTCAGAAAGTCAATTTTGACGACAGCTTCTGGTGCTTCAATGCAGATATTATTAATCACTATTCAACCGGCGATGAGACGTCTTGCAGGTGTCATGAATACAATAATAAACTAAAATATTAATGACTTGCTGAAGTACTTCTTCGCAGAATTTGTGTATGCCGAGTAACGTTGTGAAAACTGCCGGTAGTAGCTCAAACAACGAGCCAACTTGATCCGACGCACAAATGGCAAATTTTACCCGTTCAAATCGGGGCCGTGGGAAAATTTTCATTTTGTTTCCGTTACTCCTAACAAGTTTTCTTCCTAAAGGTAAGTTTGAGCGAGTAATGAAACCCAAATAGAAGCGTCGTTTTGATGTTTACTTGAAAAAAAAAACTATATTTTACTTGTCAAAAAGATCGGTAAAATCCTAGTCGACCACGAATACAGTTAAAACTTTGCTAAAGTTTGCGTGATCACCAGACACAGGAACTGGTTTGCAAACTTAATGACTTGAAATAAAAATTCACTGAATTCCACATCTTTTAACGGAGCAATCAAGTGATGACATAATATAAGCCTTAAAACAAAAAATCTAATTTTGCTCATGCTGCTTTATATGTTTTAACTAATACATGTAATTCAAGACGATGGGGAAATCCACGCTGACGCAAAGAAATCAGTATCTTTGTTATGCATAGCCCGTCTTTCTTATCATTTCTTTTGTACTCACGGTATTATATTCAAGTAGCCATTTTCGATAACTCCAATTTGACTTTGAACTGCTTTTTCTCACTGACAACTTGAGAAAAATACAGTCATCGGGCGTAGTCCATGTTAATATAAGTGATCACTCTCTTGTGTTTGCCATGCTCAGGGCATCGGAACCGAGAATACGATCTCGGAAAATACAATTCAGATGCCTTAAAAATTTTGATAAACAGCATTTTCTACATGATTTGCGTAATGTTCCTTTCCAAGTAGCTGAAATATTTGACGACGTTAACGATAAGCTCTACGTGTTTGATTGTCTATACGAGGACATTCTTGCTGAGCATGCACATTTGAAACAGGTCCGCATAAGGGGAAATCAAGTTCCTTTTATGAATGAACAATGGCGCAAAGCTATTCGTCAGAAAAACCGTTTGTGGAAACGTTTCATTCGCGAAAGAACTGTTGCTAATTATGAATTGTATAAGAGACGAAGGAACATTTGCACCTCTCTAAGTCGTAAAGCTATTAAAACTTTCTTCGATAAGAAAAGTGAGTCGGAAAACCCAAGGGAGTTTTGGGACACATACCGCCCATTTTTTCATTCAAGGAAAAGCACGCAAGCAAATGACATTAAAAGAACACGATGTCGTGATAACAAACAAAAACAAATGGCGGAGCTTTTTAATAGTTATTTTGTCAACATCGCGGACGGCGTGCCAGAGATTACTGAACAGAGTTATGGAAAAGACGTATATGAGCACGATCCTTCGCAGTAAAGCACTATTTGAGCAATAGTGAAAATCAGACCTGAAAAAAATTTCAGGCCTGTACGGGATTCGAACCACTGACCTCTGCGATACTAGTGCAGCGCTCTACCAATTGAGCTAACAAGCCAACTGGGAGCAGGCCATCAAATTAATTCGACATAAACCCGTAGATGATAAATCAAACAACAACAAACATATGAAACATATGTGTGAACTGCGGTTATGAGACGTATATGAGCACGATCCTTCGCAGTAAAGCACTATTTGAGCAATAGTGAAAATCAGACCTGAAAAAAATTTCAGGCCTGTACGGGATTCGAACCACTGACCTCTGCGATACTAGTGCAGCGCTCTACCAATTGAGCTAACAAGCCAACTGGGAGCAGGCCATCAAATTAATTCGACATAAACCCGTAGATGATAAATCAAACAACAACAAACATATGAAACATATGTGTGAACTGCGGTTATGAGACGTATATGAGCACGATCCTTCGCAGTAAAGCACTATTTGAGCAATAGTGAAAATCAGACCTGAAAAAAATTTCAGGCCTGTACGGGATTCGAACCACTGACCTCTGCGATACTAGTGCAGCGCTCTACCAATTGAGCTAACAAGCCAACTGGGAGCAGGCCATCAAATTAATTCGACATAAACCCGTAGATGATAAATCAAACAACAACAAACATATGAAACATATGTGTGAACTGCGGTTATGAGACGTATATGAGCACGATCCTTCGCAGTAAAGCACTATTTGAGCAATAGTGAAAATCAGACCTGAAAAAAATTTCAGGCCTGTACGGGATTCGAACCACTGACCTCTGCGATACTAGTGCAGCGCTCTACCAATTGAGCTAACAAGCCAACTGGGAGCAGGCCATCAAATTAATTCGACATAAACCCGTAGATGATAAATCAAACAACAACAAACATATGAAACATATGTGTGAACTGCGGTTATGAGACGTATATGAGCACGATCCTTCGCAGTAAAGCACTATTTGAGCAATAGTGAAAATCAGACCTGAAAAAAATTTCAGGCCTGTACGGGATTCGAACCACTGACCTCTGCGATACTAGTGCAGCGCTCTACCAATTGAGCTAACAAGCCAACTGGGAGCAGGCCATNTCGCGTTGCGTATTATACACGAATTCCATTGTTTGTCACGCACATCCCAATTTGCATATGTTAAAAACACAACAAAAAAGTAACACATTTCAAGCTTTGATATAAAGGCGAAGCATAATTTAAAGCTTTGATATAAAGGCGAAGCATAATATAATTTCTACCGAAATTATGCTTCGCCTTTATAAAACGTTTATGTTACCCCATTTTCACTACTGTTCAATGATATGGCACTTTTGTAATTCAGAGGACTCTGTTAAACTGGACACCTTAAATAGACGTATTTTAAGATTTGTTTTAAAGGACTGGGACTCGAACTATGATGATCTTTTAGACAAGGCAGGTGTGTGTGGTTTAGCCAACAGGATGATACAAAATATGATGATTTGTATATTCAACTGTCTCCATCTTGATAAATATCCGTGCTATTTGAAACAACTGATCAAGCTAAGATCTACTGCTTAGTCCCTAAGGGGCACCAATATTTTATCACTTCCTAATCCGTTTACAACCACATATGGTCTAAATTCTTTTAGCTATTCACCTGTTAAGTACTGGAACTCCCTCCCCGACCACTTTAGAAAGACTGTAGATTGTAGTGAATTTAAGCGCAAACTGTTAGTGCACGGTTTCTGTTAATATTACATTAATTTTACATTATATTATTATATTATTAATTATTTTTTTAACTTTTTAGCCTTGTTCTTGCTCTTGCTGTAACTTTTAAAATTAGTACTTTGGATCGGAGATACTAGCTTGTAAGCTACACTGAAATCCGAGGATAAATAAGCTTATGTATGTATGTATGTATGTATGTATGTATGTATGTATGTATGTAGAAAAGATTAATTTACTTCGCGACATTGTGTCTATCACCCAGAGATTCAGACTCGCTTAGCCAAGGCCGTTCCGTTCCAAGAACTGAAAAGCGTTAAAAATTCAATGGAAGTTTATCGAGAACACTTTTAAGTAGCGTCAACTGAGGAAATATTTAGTTGAAGCTAAGTAAATATCTGAATGGAGCCAAAACGTTACAAAGTGGATGGATGACCACGTAAACTTGTGGTGTCGTTCTTAGAAGTCATGAGTGTCATGGTAAGGAATGGATAAAAACTTAGAATACTCTACTACGAGACAAAAATAAATCGGCCTCGTTTCTTTCTGCTCGCGTTCACTTCTTAAAATATTTCTCCTTTATCAAATCTAATTTACCCTGCTAATCTCTCTGTTGTAAGTCTCCCACAAAATATAAATTCTTAAAACTTCCGTTGACTCGTAACATACAAGCAGAAGTGTCATTTCAATATTTCAACGTGTAAATCCATTTATAAACCTATTACGTAAGTCAGGAAGGCGCGAGGTTAAGTCTCCTAATATGGCTCAACCATCAGAGAGTGACAAAACATGCTTGTCAAGAAGAAACCAAGACGTTTGACAACGATATCCGCCTGTAATTCTTCATCATCATCATCTTCGTCATCATTATCATCTTCATTACTATTATGATTACAATTATTGCTATTATTATTATTATTAGTAGTAGTAGTAGAAGTAGTAGTAGTGGTAGTAGTAGTAGTAGTAGTAGCAGTGGTAGTAGTAGTAGTAGTAGTAGTGGTAGTAGTAGTAGTAGTGGTAGTAGAAGGATGTACTTAAACGTGGCGCTCTGGTAGCAAGTTAACTAAGCCCAGCAAAAAAAAACCTTATCAGGGAAACCTACAGTTAACAACCTCTTCAGACACATGAATAATATCGTTATCGTTATCATTATCGCGATCATGCCCATCATCATTTTTAAAACCTAACCTTACATATAATTTATATCTCTTCTAGCATTTAGCCTTCGCTGTAAGGCCTGCGAAAGCAGAGAGTCATGGGAAAACTGCGACAAAAACATGACGACCAAAGAATGTGCCGTCCAAGAAGAGAGATGCGTTAAATACGACTATCATGTGACATATGATAACACTACCATGCCACAATCAAAGCGTTTTCAGCGTGACTGTTTGCCTCAGGCCCAGTGCTCCAGCAGTGAACTTCAAGCTTGTAGAGACCTCGAGAAACTTGGTATGGAGATGAAAGTAACGTGTCACGTGTCATGTTGTGCAGAAGACTCTTGCAACTCTCAAGTGAAGACGAGTGCCTCTGTTCAAGTGATGATTGTTATTCTTCTAGCTGGGGGCATCTTTCATATTTAAGGGACAGTAACAACAATACTCTTTATTAAACACAATGAACTGCTTTCTAGAAAACTGCCTTCTTGATAATCAATCTTAGTGATTAAGCGTTCTCACATTAGCAAAATTTTACATCGAAAAGGTTATTGACATTTTTTTTTTCAATGTCAAGAAGACTTTTATTTCTCACTGTAATGTCATCGTAATGTCAACTTTGAATAAAGCTATTGATTCTCGGATTTAATGATAGCGTCTTAGCAGAGATTTTAACTGACCCTACTCCTTGATGATTGATGAAAATTTTATGGTGGGTTGAATTTTTTCCTTTGGTGTTTCTCCATCTGCATGCAACTCGTCCACCGATCTGTTTTTTAGACAGCTCAGTAAACAGAGCAGACTAAAATATGCAAACATCATTTACATATGTAACTTTCTTTTAGAAACGATTTATAAAAACATCGGTTGGAGAGAAGCCAATCAAGAGCATTAAGTTTTTGAGACGCACTGCCAGAAAACGATCTCACATCAAAATGAAAGTGCTCTTAGCAACACTGGTTGTAGTTTCAGTCTTTATGCAAGGTACGTATTGCTTCTTCCTAAATGGCGATGAAAATAAATCAGAACCTTTTTGACACTTAATGGCGCGTAGAATGTGGTTATGTTTCTTACCTGCACAAAGTATTCGTGGACATTATTGCCGCCATTTCAAGCTTTTGGGAGTCTTGATAAAAAACTGATGAACAGACCTCATCATTCAGCGCCAGAGACGTCCTGGGTTTCGCTTTCCTCAAAGTTGGTTTGTAACGTTCGCAAGTAGAACTGTAATCATTCATTAGAATTTTTCATTTAATCCGACGAAAGCTATAAAGATTAGGTGCATCGCGTTGTCGTTATATGAAAGTCAATGGTACAATTTCTTAGTTTGCTATTTTGCCACATCAAAATAAGGCCCATTTATTTTTATCCTCGTTTGTTTGCGAAAAAATTGCTTTGTTCAGAAAAAGCAACCATATACGTAAAACAAATTTTTAGTTCATAAGAAAGTTTGGGAAAATGCCAGATTTAAAATTTAAACGTATTACTTTTTAAATATAGGTACAGAACTTATTATGGAAGTTTTTGCTCCGTTAACTATCTGAAATCGTTGCTAAATTTTTCTGTCCTGTCAGCCTATTAAAATTCCAGTTGATTAAACATGACTTCATGTATGAAATAATAGTTAGCCAAGAGAAAGGTTTATTAGCTGTTCGAGTTTCCTAAGCAAATGTTATTCTCTTCAAGTCTTCTTTTTCGTGCACCGTAATTTAACACGAAGCAAGAACGTGACGCTATGGGATCTTTATCAAGCATGAACGTTTCAAATGGGCACATTAAAGATCACGCATTCATTTCTTTATAGCGAACATCTCAGAGAAAGTTCTCTCTGTTCAAAATTCATTTTCTCTTTAATTTCTTTAAACCTAAAAGGAAAAAAAAATAAAAAGTTGTAAGTTTAAAATCAGTCCGGTGGAGTGTGGATGGAGCTTAAAAGGTGATAAATTGATAAAATCTGAGCCTTACCCTCCCTCCGTGAGGTTTCAAAATTCGAAGTGATAGTCTACCACTGTGCTCTAAGCCATGTAGAGGTCGTCAGTGGGATGGATTACGTGTCATAATCAGATCCTCATTATCAGTGCTTCGGCACGAGCACCAGTTTTTCGCCCACTGGAAAGTTTGAGGCCTTGACCAACGTGAGCCCGCGAGAAATCTGCAAGGGGTTTGGCAGTGTCATTAGTGCCAGACCCCCGGCAAATTTTTCCCGCACTCGTCTCAAATCTCCCCACGTGCAGAGAAAGGCGTGTCTTGCAACACTAGTAGTAGGGGCTTGCAATAATCAGTGGCGGATCAAGGGGAGGGGCACGAGGGGCCGCCCTCGCTATTTTGGATAAACAAAAAAGCCCCCCTCTAGCTCCCTTAGCTCAAAGGTCTGGATCCGCCACTGATAAGCATTATTAGTTAAAAGCGATTTTCACACCTTGATGTTTTATTGTTTAGGATGGTCGATCACGTGCTATCGTTGTGGTGGGGCTGCACCAAGTTGTGAGGGGTCTGGCTCAGCGACGGTGAAATGTGATGATTCATCCATGCCTGGTTCTGTGTTCGCCTGTCAAGTGTACACGGCAAATTTCACGTCATATGACGAAGTCAGAGTGTTTAAAAGTAAGAAAATCCAAAAGACAGTGTGAGACGTGTTTAGGATAACAAAGATGTCAAAAAAAAAAAAACCAGAAGCGATGAGGTGAAATGCGAATGCAGTTTTGGGAAGTGATTTGAGGCGTTATTATCATGGTGTGCACATGATGTTTCAAGTAAGTGATCATAACATGACATGATAGATTGAGACAGCGTGACGAGACATCTCGAGAAAGTTTTAACATGAACTTGAATACATAAAAATACGCGATAAACGTGAGATATTACGTCATGGTTTGCGTGACAGATATGAAAGGAACGGGATGAAATGATGTAATGTAAATAACTTGAAACAAAATGACGCAATATCTATGGCGATAAAAGTGAAATGATCATGCGTGACTGATATGACACTGCATTATGTAACATTACACCACATGAGCTATCAAATGTGACAAACGTGACATAACTGTGATCTGGAGATCAAATTACAGACGTGCGGTTATATAACACTCCATGATAGATATGACAGACGTGACACGGTATTGCATGACACAACAGGACTGACATGACATTACATGAGGGAATGACATATCGATATATCGACATGACATTACATTCGATGCCATGCAATGAGAGGGTATTACATCGCATGGAATTCTGTCACATTCGATACGATGATGAGAGGTGAAACAAAATCAAAAGTGTTTGGATAACACTTTCATTTTGTTTACCCAATTAACATTTCTCAACCCTGGAAGTACTTTGGCCTATGTTAAAAAAAGGATTTGATTTTCCTTGATAACAGGTTGCTGCTTGTATGAGGACTGCAACAAAGATCCCTGTAAGGAGTTCGGGAAAGAAATAGTCTGCTCTAAGATGGCCAGTTGTCAAGAAGACAAATGTAACTTCGATTACGACTCTGCCAAGGCTTCCCAGCCTCCCACGCTTCCCTCTGAAGCGAGCAGCGTGACTTTGGGAAAAGTCTTGGAAGCGACTCTTATCATGGCACTAAGTATGTCATTGTTCATTTGAATATTTGGAAAATTTTCTTTAGCAGACATCATTTAAGATGAACTTGCAGCGTTTGATTTATTGCACGGTGTTTAAAAAAAAACTACATGAATTATGCACAAACTACACTTAGTTGAATCTTTTGAGAACTTATTGTAAGGCCAATTAAGAGAATAAAATGATTAAAATTAAGTAAAGTAATATTTATAAAGGTACTCCTTGCTTCTAGGGTTTTATTGCCACCAGTAGCAAGGCAAAAAAGGCCATTAGAATAATTTTAATGCGACAAGGAAACCACAAATAAAATAACATTAGGAAAGAAACTGATAATGAAAGTACGAATTCAGTCTCCCTACAAGTCCGTATTATGGCAACGGTTCGCACAAAGAAATGGAGAATAGATTCTTCTAAAGGTATAGAACAATCGAGAATTTCAACTATGGTGGCTGATTTAAAAAAATTTTAGAGCGGAAACCAACAGCTGGAGCCCTGCCTTTCTTTTTCGCGACTCCTCCTTTCTCATTTATTTCAGTACTCAACCATTCTCCCCGGCATGAAGTCCTTTTTCACTATTCCCCGTCCGTGAGGGTTTATTCGTTATTTATCTATCAATTTATTTATTTTTGATTGTATTCCATAAGGCTTCCTTTTATTCGTCTTTTTCTGGTTTAATTTCTAGCTCTCTTAGGTGTTCCCCTGGCAAATGAAAAAACTCCCCTAACCTTATTCCTGTTCACAGTTGTTTCTGTCAACAGTAGTATTTGATTCTAACACGACACTTCACCGGCGTCACATATACTCAATGTTTATTCATTTTCTTTTATCACATTCACATTTAATTTTGTATATTTAACTGATCTAAGCCCAAAAACCGGAATAGCTCTACAGTCTTGAATCATTATCCTGCACCTAATTAGTCAATGAAAATCGAGAATAAGGAAACCATAGATTGTCGTCTTTTATGGCCCCTCAGCAATCTTCATCTGCTTCCTGACTTGATATTTCGTCTTACATGGCCGAAACCTCCACCGGTCGAGCATCAGCAACTAGACTGAAGCCTTCGTCAGCCCCAACATTTGCATCTTGAAAACTGAAGCCATCATCGGCTTCAATACCAGACTCATCTTCAAGGAAATATTCTCTCATTTCACTTTCCTCTTTTTTGTTCGGGAAAGCTATCGCAACACTGCAAACGATGGCTATAACAAAAAAGATGTACAATTGTTTCCGTTTCTTGATACATAAAACAAAATTAAGTTCGACCGTAATAGAAATTTCCTCTTTTTGTAATTCTTGTGATGAACTACAAAGCGCCCTTCTGCCAAGTCACTGTCCCACTGGTGGGACAAATATTTGAGCTGTGGGCTCATGGATCGGCTAAGCTTCGACGCAATCAGTTGGAATATCTGTGTTCGCGCCAAAACTCGTGCACGTGACATTGCTGTGTGGCATGCGGTTTCGTTTTTGTTTTTGTTTTTTTATTTTACTCTCGCCATTCTGTCTAGAGTTGTCGTGTAGTTCGTTGCGTAAATAAATCATGCTAAAAATTGAACGTACTCGTCATCCTGAATCCTCGTTAAATCGCCGGAACAATCTGTGAGGACTTTTTCTTTATGTATCGTGAAGAAAAGGACTTATCTGGCACTTTTATTATCTTTAAAACTCGAGGAATCGCTGATATATTTTAACGTAAAGCCAAGTTGTTCCGATGAAACGTTTTTCTTGTATAGATCGTGTTTTGGGAAAGGGAAATTTATTTAAGGGGCTTAACAAAAGCATTCTAAATTGACAAGGTCGACAAAAGCCTCTTTCTTTTGAGTTCCTAAAGCGTTTCTTCTTCGTGATATTATTTCCTAAAAAATGGTAAATTACCTCTTCTTATTCGCGTTTACCATTAGTATATCACAAAACCAAGAGAATCAATTGCCTCTTGACATGACTGAAATTATTCTCTTACCCAACAAAAATAGCGAAAAATTCTTCATGGTGCTTTAGGCCTGGAGTTTTCACGGCGGCAAAGATTCGTTGGGTTGGTGGAGTAAATCAGACCTCCAAACCAGATATAATGATTGCTTGACTTACGTTGTCTCTCTTTTATTACCCGCTATCAATGTAAACAAGAGACGTCTATTGTCAACATTTAGTTAACAGGCGAGCGCAAAATTAATCATTACTTTGATGTGATGTTTGATGAGCTGTAAAGAAAAATAATGAGACAAACGTCCATTGATGGTACGACGTGTAAAGTTTGTTGAAGGGGTCCTTGAAAGCTCTGCCCCTTTAAATCCCGCACAGCTGGCAGACACATTGGTGAAAAAAAGTTTCACTCAATTTATGAAGCGTGGTATGTAGTGACGAAAAAAAAAACTGATTTCGCCGAAAGGAGATCGTACATAAAAGACACTTCCCGTCCAGATGCCATAAAGCTCTGATAGTTTTTTTTTAAATAAAGAAGTCACACTATCCTTTTCCCCAAGAAATTTTACGAGGGGCACAAAACGCCTATTGGAATGTCTCCATGCGGTTAACCATTAGCCATTGAACGGCCAAAAAGCTGATAAATTGCAACTTCAATTCGCAAAAAAAGTTTGATTGTAAATAAAATTTCTGGGGCAGCAACGGAAAGATATCAACCGTTGTAAAATGGCCAAAATTTCAACTGTTCGCCGCAAAAGCCATCACCCTTTGGAGACCTCCTATTGACGCTTGTTGTACTATTTCATTTGAGCCATCCTCACCGACGGCTACATTGTTAGAGTTCGAATATAAACAAAGAGAAATAGAAAAACCAAAGAAATTGCATTTCGAATCCAATGTGACTATTTATCATGACAATTATCACACTCTAAAAAATATGGATGTCATTTTTTACCGTGACCGTGGTAGATGTTGTTTGGAGTTAACCAGCTGTCAAAACACACTTTGTGGCAATGAAACATTTGAAAAAATTAATCAACATTGTTTTTCTCTAGTTTGTTTATTTGTTTGTGCTCAAGCTTTACCAGTTTAATTAGTTCCAATTTTTTTTCTCTTCTCTCGTCGTCGGAAGAGGAATTTCTCCGTTTCAGTATAAAAACAGACCGTAGAGATGAAAATTCTACGATTGAATCGCATATCGCCAGATACTCTTAGCAGCTCCCAACTAAAACTCTTTTAAAAGATTTGTGATTTTGTGAAAACATATCTAAAAATTATTTTTTGATTTTCAGCATTATAATTCTCATTCGTAAGCTCTCGTGGATTTTATCATTAAGCAGTAAAAAGGCAATAAAATTGCAATTATTTCAATCAGAGTAACTGTGCTTTGAAGCTGCGCGCATGTTATCCAATTCAATTAAAATCCCGCATCACCAACAAACAATATAAATATAAAAATCAAATTGTACTCTTTGTTATTTACGATGCACGTTTTCCAATAAGTTCTATCGAAAAGGCATTGTCCAAGATTTAGTGAAAAAAACTAGTGGAAAAAGGTAACCCTAGAGATGCAAAAAATGTCCGCAACTAAAGCGAGTTGTTCCGGTCAAGGATCTTCAAATGCGGTTGAAAACGATCCTGAAAATCGGTAGCAGTTCATAACCAAACAAAATACAACAAGTGAAATAAGAAATATCTCAAATTTGACTGATACTAGCAGAAGGGAAAAATATATCCTCGTGGACGAACTGCCAAATATCCAGCGAGGATAAATTTCATCGTTGCGGGTCTTTAACCCTGTGGTGCTTTTTAAATACCGTTAGTCACTACTACCATCTAAGCTACGCCACCTTACATCAGAGGCGAGGTAAAGTTTTCAGTTTTTTCTAAATGTGATCTCCTTAAAGAGTTTAAACATAGTTAGTAGAGGGGGACTGGTTAGGAAAGCCGGCGAACTTCTAAGAGTCAGCCTATTGTTCGTGGTTTTATGTTGAAAGTACCGTCACGTGACCGCGACCCTGTACACAACACCAAACAAACATGGCGTCGGTAGGGACTTCTAGTACTGATTTTTTGTTTGGAGACGATTTTGATGCTATATTTGAAGCTTTACGTGAAGATGAAGACTTCGAGGACTATTTAGAAGCTGTTGTTGAGAAGGTTAGTGTATAAATATGCGCTTATTTCGCGGAATTATTATGATTTGTACGCGATTCTTCACGCGAATTCAAGGGCCGGTAGCTTATACACAAGCTAAAGTTTTACTCAAAGAGTTTTATTTATTGCTTTTGCTATTTCTGTCTTAATATTGTCAGTGCACATTCCTTAAATAATTCTATAATTAATAGTGTAATTTTCAAAGCAAGAAAGCTTTTATGGCAATGCTAAGGTAGATATCTGTTGTTCCCTTGTAGGTTCAAAACGAAGGAGTTTCATGTCAGTTTTGCACGAAGATTTGTAAAAGCAAGCAAGGCTTAAGTAGACACATAGCTGCCAAACACAAAGACCAGGACCAAGCTATTAAGACTAAAAGGAAGAAGGAGACAGCGTTAAAATATGGCGTGTTT